TCTACTTACATTAGTTTTATATTGCTGTGTAATAAATTCGTACAAACTTAGTGGCTTAAAATAGTAGACATTTATTATCTCACAGTGTCTGTGTGTGAGAATTCTTGGCATTGTTTAACTGGGTCCTCTGCCCAGGTTCTCCCAAAACTGCAATCAAGATGTCAGCTGGGTTGCATTTTCATCTGGAAACTGGAATGGAGAAGAATCTGCTTCCATACTCATTCAGGTTGTTGGCAGAATTCATATCTTTCTGGTTGGGTGACTGCTGTCCTCCACTTTTTTTGCTGGCTGTTTGCTAGAGATCCTAGAAGTTGCCTGCAGTTCCTAGAGACTGCTCACAATTTCTTGCCATATGGGCTTCCTCAAAATGACTGCTTACTTCATCAAACCAAGGAGAATCTCTAGTTCTAGTCTGCTAATACAGTCTTATATAACATAACATCCTAATGGGAGTGACATCCATCACCCTTAATATAATGTAACCTTATCATGATTACATGTTATATTCTGTTGGTTAGAAGCAAGTCACAGGTTCTACCACACTCAAGAGGAAGAGAGAACATGAAAGTGAATACCAGGAGGTGGGAATCACTGGGGTCATTTTGGGACTGTCACCCACACTACTGTTGAAATTTTCCTTCCTCCATGGGAAAGTCATATCTAATTAGTTTAATTCTTATTTTGGAGATGTAAAAACTAAAGCTCAACTAAGTAGAAGAATAGAGTTTTTTGTTTAAGTTTTGGTTTATGTGGGTACCTAAGGAGTGAGACTAAAGTGAGATTAAACAGCTGCAGAGGGGAGGCCTCAATGGAATAATGACTGTTGAGTTCTGTATATGAACTCTTGGATTTTTCAGTGGAAGATTGCTAGCTGTGGGTTGGGGAGACAGTCAAACAGGCAGGCAAAGAAGTTGGATAGTCAAAAGTCTCTATAAGTATGCTTCCCTAATGAGCTTCCTAAGAAACACCGGCTTGTGACTTAGCCCAAATTAGCAAGTAAATGACAGAAACTAGGAGATGCCATTTTGTTGTTGTTGTTGTTTCTAGATGTTTTGAGAGTTTAAAAATCCTGACGTTGTATTCTTTGAGAGATTATGGAGAGTTACTTTTACCCAGTTGGGAAAATTTCCATAGCACTAGATTATTAGGCAGCAGTTTCAAGGAGACCAGTCATTGCTGCTCCTCTTTCCACTCCTACCTAGATAGTGTGGTAAATGATAATTACCCGATATTTATTTGCTTTCTAAAAGAAATTGAGTATAATTTTTTAATTTAAGATAACCCATTTAGGAAGGAAAGAATGCTGGTTGAACTGACTGAGCCCTCCATGATCTCCCTTGTGTCCTTCTGTGTGTTTTCTAAGCACCCATCATAGCTTTTTGTACTGTATTATAATTGCCTGTGTACTGCCTGTATTTCTCAATGGCTTGTAACCTCATTAAGAGTAAGAACTGTGTTCCTTTTTATTGTTATATCACTGCTACAGATATTAAACTACCATAATGTTTAATGCACAGTAGGGCCAGTAGAAATAAAATATATAAATGAATGAATGAGTTAATGACTAAATGAAAGAATGGGTAATGGAGAGAGTAACAGACTCAATGTTTAGTGAATATACCTTGTCAAAACTCACCTTTTCCCCACTCTTCAGGCAGATCTGATTCTAGTATTCAGCACTTGGTTGGTGTTCAACACAGAAATTTATTCTCTAGTGACCGGATGGCTGCATTAAACTTTGAGCAACACTGTTATCCTCTGCAGCCTGAGGATCTTTCTAATTGTATATGAGATAATGAGAGTCTTAACTCCAGGAGCAAAAGAAAATGATGACTTCACTAATCTCCAGCATTTAAATTATAGGCACCTGCTGCTCAAAATACTGAAAAAAGATACAGCCAAGAAAGAATTCCATTCTTTCCTAATGAACTCAAATAGATTCCCTAAAAGCATTTTCAGAGTTGAATCTATTTTCTACACAGCTCACTTTGAGAAAAACCTTCGTAACATAATTCTGGTAGAAGAAAATATTTTGAGTAGTTCAGGACTAAATTATCTTGTTTCTTAAAAGGCAGTTCTTTTAAAAATAAGTTAAGCAGATGGCATTTTTCTTTTCTTCCTTTAAAGTTCTGTCTTATCTCACCCACTTTTATGGAATGACTAACATCATGTTCAGACCTGGAAAAATATATAATTTGTCAGTTGCAGAGTTTGGGTTAGGGGAAATTTGTATTCCGGGCAGAGTTTCACAGCCACCTGGCATTGGATGCAAATTCTTACAGTTCAGTTAGGTTGGAAGCAACGTAATTAAGTCCTGACATTTTTAGCACAAATGGATGAAATGCAATTAGGGTACTTTAAAATACCTAGTTTAAAACTCTCTTTTCTCCTCTATCACTAAGACATGATTTTAGGAGAGCTTAAAAAACAGTTACTCAGTGACTGTTTATCGAGTACCTACTATGTGTCCCTTAATATGCTAGAACATAGAACATAATGATGAATAAAATAGATATGGTCCCTATTGTAATTTTTAGGTCAGGTTAATAAAATGGAATACAGATTACTCTTTTTGTTTCCAGGATACTATGAAGGACAGTGGCTTAGAAAAGTGGCAGATGTTGCTAATAAGATATAATCCAAAGCTAAGTTGTATAACCTGGTCAAGTATATTACATTCCCAGTATAGTGAAATTAGATAATTTGTTACACACGTGATAAGTTTTTAATTATTTCTTTGATTTATTCAGATCAATGACTTACTCAAGGTAGTTGGGTTTTTAGAAAGCTGCCCAGAATAAAAGGAGCCCGGGTGGCACAGTGGTTAAGTGCTCAGCTGCTAACCAAAGGTTGACAGTTCGAATCTACCAGCAGTTCCAGGGGAAAAAGATGTGACAGTCTGTTTCAGTAAAGATTACAGCCTTGGAAACCCTATGAGACAGTTTGGCATAGTGGTTAAGAGGTGCGGCTGCTAACTAGAAGGTTGGCAGTTTGAATCCACCAGGCACTCCTTGGAAACCCTATGGGACAGTTCTACTCTGTCCTATAGGGTCACTGTGACTCGAAATCGACTCAACGGTAGCAGGTTTGGTTTGGTTTTTTAGAAGAGTGAGATTTTTGCTGGCATTATGTTGGTTATACTTCTTCTAATTCTTTGTGAGATCACTTTAACTTTTTGGGGGGAGGGTGGTTTGTGGATGAGTGGAGAGCTTTGTCAGCTACACTTCTGTCCTCTTCTAGGAATTTTTTTTAAACAGCTTTATTTATTGAAATATAATTTCACATACTATACAGTTCACCCATTTAAAGTGTGCAATTCAGTGGTTTTTAGTATATTCACAGAATTGATCATTGCCACTGTCATCATTTTTAGAAAATTTTCATCACCCCAGAAATAAACAGTGGACCATTAGCAGCCGCTCCTCATTTATCCCAAACTCTCTCTCCTAGGCAACCATTAATCTACTCTCTGTCTCTGAATACTTGCCTTTTCTGGACATTTCATATAAATAGAATTATACAAAATATGGTCTTTTGTGATTGGCTTCTTTCACTTAGCATGTTTTCAGGGTTCATCCATTTTGCAGCATATATAAGTACCTCATTTCTTTTTATTGCTGAATAATATTCCATCGTGTGGATATCACATAGTTTGCTTATGCATTCTTAAGGTGACAGGCATTTGAGTTGTTTCCACTTTTTTACTATTACGAGTAATACTGCTGGGAGCATTTGTGTACAAGTTTCTGTGTGGAAGGTTTTTTTTTTCTCTTGGGTGTATACCTAGCAGTGTAACTGCTGGGTCATATGATAGCTCCTGTTTAACATTTTGAGGAGTATAACTGCTGGGTCATATGATAGCTCCTGTTTAACATTTCGAGGAAGTGCCTTAATGGCTAATATTGTTGAACAGCTTTTCATGTGCTTACTGGTCACTTGTATATCTTCGTTGGAGAAATGTCTGTCGAAATCCAGTGTGGAACTTGTACCCTTCGTGTCAGCAGGGCCAGGACAATAGGGATCCGGCATGCTTGGCCTGTCCTTCCTAGGCTATTTTCTCTGCAAGTGCGAGGTGGGTGGAGGAAAGGAGTCACAGATCTCTCAGCTGTTTTCCTTTTCTAGGTGAAATTGTATTTATCTCTATAGTATTCATTCATCTTCTCATTCTGCCTTGCCTGTATTCCATACCAGATGATCTCCTTTCCTCTTTTACTCCTTCCTGTCTCTCTCTTTGTATGTTGTACTTTTTAAGATTCTTATATTCTTTTTTATGTTAACTTATCTGTACTTGTTTTCACCCCTTAGACAGTAAAATATTTGAGGACAACTAAATCTTTTTCTTTCTATTCCCTATTGGACAGAATTGAAATGAATACTTGGGAAATATTCTTAATGAATTTGTGGAAGAGAATCTGGAGTATATGGACCAGTATTATTTGTTCATTTGTTCTGTCAAGAAATGTTTATTATCTACTATTTACCAAACATTGTGTTGTGCATTGGGAATAAAGCTGTGAACTATAAGGGGATCTTTGTTTTCTGAGTTTTCCTTATTCAGATTCCTGAAGTCACAAAGATGTATAGGTAAGCAAATCATGATAACAAGTAAAAATTTTACTAATAAACTGACAGTTTATAAAATGACTCCCAAACATTTCTCCCCACTTAATTTACTCCCCATAGCATCAATTTCATTAGCTATTCCTATTGATTTTCAAATGGTTACTACATGTAACATACTGCGTAAAGCAGTTGTTAAGTAAAATTGTAAATCTTGCGAAGGGAGCAGTTTCATGAAATAATGTGAATTTTCTAGAACAGTCTGAATTACATTCAAAGCCCTTGCTAAATGAAGATCTATCTGCATTCTATTATTTTACAATTGACAAAGAAAAACATGGCAAGTATCCAAAAAAAGACAAAACCCATTCCCATGAAGTTGATTCTGAGTCATGGTGACCCTATAGGACAGAATAGAACTGCCTCAGGGTTTCCAAGACTATAAATCTTTACAGAAGCAGACTGCCACATCTTTATCCCACGGAACAGCTGGTGGGTTTGAATTACCGACCTTTAGATTAGCTGCCAAGCACTTAACCACTGCACCACCAGGGCTTCTTGTGGCAAGTATAGGGGCTTCCAAGGAGAAGTGAGTATGAGTGAGTTAGATAGGGCTTGAATATATTTCACAAAATAACCTGACACTTTCTCTGAGCTGTTCTATCATGCTGTCTTTAAATTTTATGAGAAAAATTACACAAAGTACTTTTCAAATTGATTTTTTCTTAGTTTATTATTATAAAAGTTAGTTCATATTTATAATTATAACCTAACATATTTTAAGATGATGTGTGAGTTAAACTATTTAACTTGAAAATTTGGTTCCTGTTTTAAATGGATTTGCTCTTTCTGGCATTGGTATCTTCTGATAAGGAAGACAGAGTGATGATATGATATAAACCTAATGCTGTATGATTGACATTATGACAGAGATTTACATACATTGCTTTGTTTGCCCAATGGATGGGTGTCTAACCTGATGTTGTGGAGGGATGCAGGGCAGGTAAAGTCATAATTCTGAAGAGATCTGAGCCAAGTTTTGAAGTGTGAGTCTGATTTAGCTAGGTAAAAGTGAAATGGGGTATTACAAATGGAACAAAGAACACATTGAAAGGAATGATTTCAAGTAATTTCTGATGGATTATTTGTGAATAGAGGCAGATTTACTGTAAATTTATGAAGCACAAGCTTCTAGGTTCCTAAAATGCTAAGCCCTTTGCAAATCCCTGGGAAAAGTCTAGCATTTTATTTACATGGACATATGTTTTTATAATTTTTATAATACTTAACTGTTTTTTCTTTTTTAAAGCAAGCCCCTGAAATTTATATATGAAATTATATGTTTTCAGGATATGAGAGATGGGAAAAGATGTTGATTAACCAAAATTATGGAGGACACTGGACACTGTAAAGTAGTTTGGCTTTTTAACCTTTAAGTGTTAAGGTGGCACTAAAAAATTGTAAGTTGGAAAGTGATGTGATCAAGTGTGTAATTGAAAGCAATCACTCTATCTGCAGTGGAAAGGATAGATTGGAAGACACTATTGCTTAAATCCAAGAAGTTATATAAAAGCTTTAATTAAAACCATATCAAAATGAATAGAGATTCAAGCAGTATATCTGAGGTAGAGCTCACACGTTTTGGTAACTAGTTGATTTTAAGGAATGAAGGAGAATTTTATGACGACTGTTACGGTTTTGATTTAGATGAGTAGGCAGTTGTTAGTATCATTCACCTAGATAGGTAATGGAAAACAGAACAAGTTTTGGAGGAAGAAATTTATTGAATTTAGTTTTGAACATGCTAGATTTGGGAGTTTATGTAAAAAGCGTTATTGAAACTGTGGGTTTGTATTGAATCTCCCAGGGAGAAAAGGATGAGAAATGCACAATATGGAGGAAAGTGATCCTTTGAAGGATATAGGAGATAAACCCAAACAGAAACATAGAGGTAAGAGGGGGGGAAAAATTCAATGAATTCATAGAGATGGGGGCAGTAAGACAGTTTCAAGTGGAAAGTAATATTCTAATGGCTTTTGATGAGCCCTCTTCTAATTATTAAAATATCTAGGAATAAAGTATCTGAAACACAAAGAATATAAAAAATGAAAAAAAAAGATTAAAGGATACCCAAGATTTGTGGGACAATATCAAACATTCTAATATACACTCAATTGGAACCAAGAAGGAGAAGAAATGGAGAGCAGGGCAGAATAATTATTTGAAGAAATAATGACCAAGAAGTTTACAAAATTACTGACAGACACCAAACCCAAGACCTGAGAAGCTCAGAGAACACCAAACAGGATAAATACCAAAAACATCTAACAAAACAAAAGAAGGCCACCACCAGGCATATCATATTCAAATTGCTAAAAAGCAAAAGAGAAAATCCTGAAGGCAGCTGAGGGAAAAAACACATTATCTACTGAGGAACAAAGATAAGAATTATAGTATAGACTGTTTGTCAGAAACTGTGCAATCCAGAAGATAGAGTATCATCTTTAAATATTGGAAGAAAAAATATGGCAATAATAAAATCCCTACATACTGATCTTGCAGACATAAAAAGGATAAAGGGGAATGATTGGAACTACTCTATGTTCATAAATTCAGTAACAGATGAAATGGACAAATTCCTTGAAAAACACAAACTACCAAAACTTACTCAAGAAGAAACAGATCACCTGAATAGCCCTGTATCTATTAATGAAATTGAAGATAAAAAGATAGCAACAGAAGAATGTTTGCAGTTAAAAACATTCTCAAAGAGAAAACTCCAGATGGGTTCACTGATAAATCCTACCAAACCTTTAAAGAAGAAATAATGTCATTTCTACACAATATTTTCCAGAAAATAGAAGGAACACTTCTTAATTCATTTTATAAGACCAGAAATTCTCAATACAATATTAGAAAATCAAATTCAGCAACATGTATAAAGGATATTACATTACAGCTAAGTAAAATTTATGATAACTTCAACATTTGAAAGTTATTCAATGTAATTCACCATATTAACCGATTAAAACTATACATTCACCTCAACAGATACAGAAAAAACATTAGGCAAAATTCAGTATCCATTTATGATTTAAACTAGGAAGCCAAGGAAACTTTCATAAACTAATAAAGGGTATGTATGAAAAGCCTGCAGTTGATGTCTTAATGGTGAGAGACTGAACACAAGAACAAGGCAAGAATGTCCTCTTGCACCACTGCTTTTCATCGTTATACTCAAAGTCCTAGCTAGTGCAAAACAGCAATACAGAGAAACATAAGGCATATAGATCTGAAAGGAAGGAATAAAACTGTTCTTTAGGTAACTATTCTTAGATGGAGCCCTGGTGGCACAGTGGTTAAGAGATCAGCTGCTAAGCAAAAGGTCAGCAGTTCGAATCTACCAGCTGCTCCTTGGAAACCCTATGGGGCAGTTCTCCTGTGTCGTGTAAGGTCACTGTGAGTTGAAATTGACTTGACGACAGCAGGATTTTTTTTTTCTTAGATACTTTGCTTATCTACATTGAAGTTTTCAGAGAATATGCAAAAACACGTATAACAGGTGAGTTTAGTAAGGTCACAGGATGTGAGATCAATATACAAAAAATCAGTTGCATTCCTCTGTAACAGCAGTGAACAATTGGAAATAGAAATTTAAAAAAAAAAAACCATTTAACATAGCACCCCAAAAATGAACAACTTAGGTATAAATCTAAAAAATACATACAAGTATTCCAATGCTGAAAACTACAAAAAACTGATGAAAGAAATCAAGAAGGTCTAAATAATTGGAGAGATATACTGTGTTCATGGATTTGCAGGTTTAATATTCTTAAATGCCAGTTCTCCCCGATCTGATTTGTATATACATGCAATGCATTCTAAATCAAAATCCCAGCAAGTTTTTTTGTAGATACTTATAAGTTTATTTTAAAATTTATTTAGAAAGTTAAGGGACCTAAAATAGCCAAAACAACTCTGAAAAATAAGAACAGATTTGGAAGACTAATGTTACCCAATTTCTCCACTTATTATAAAGCTATGGTGATCAATAAGCAACATCATAATAAATGGAGAAAAGATGAAGTTGTCAAGGATTTCATTTTACTTGGATCCATAATCAACACCCATGGAAGGAACAGTCAAGAAATCAAAAGACACATGACATTGGGCAAATCTGCTGCAAAAGACCTCTTTAAAGTGTTAAAAAGCAAAGATGTCACCTCGAAGACTAAGGTACACCTCACCCAAGCCATGGTATTTTCAGTCACATCATACGCCTGTGAAAGCTAGACAATTAATAAGGAAGGCCGAAGAAGAATTGATGCCTTTGAATTGTGGTGTTGACGAAGAATATTGACTATACCATGGACTGCCAGAAGAACCAACAAATCTGTCTTGGAAGAAATACCACCACAATGCTCCTTAGAAGCAAAGGATGGTGAGACCACGTCTTACATACTTTGGACATGTTCTTAGGAGGGATCAGTCCCTGGAGAAGTACATCGTACTTGGTAAAGTAGAGGGTCAGCAAAGAAGAAAACCCTTGTCGAGATGGATTGACACAGTGGCTGCAATAGTGTGCTCAAGCATAACAACGATTGTGAGGATGGCGTAGGACCAGACAGTGTTTCCTTCTGTAGTACACAGGGTTGCTATGAGTCGAAACTGACTCGACAGCACCTAACAATAACAACAACAGTCAAGACAGTGTGATACTGGCAAAGGGATATACACAGAGATCAGTGGACCAGAAAAAGAATTCACAAATAGATCCACACAAATACAGTCAATTGATTTTTGACAAAGGTGCAAAGACAGTTCAATGTTGAAAAGATACACTTGTCAACAAACGGTAGTGGATGAATTGGGCATACATGGAAAAAAAAAAAAAAGAACCTTGAGACATCTTTATACTTTATACAAAAATTAACTTAAAGTGAATCATGGACCTAAATGTAAAATGCAAAACTATAAAGCTTTTTACAAGAAAACAGAAAAAAGTTTCTGTGTGACCTTAGGTTTGGTGATGAGTTTTTAGATAAAACAGCAAAAGCACAGTCCATGACATTGAACTTTATCAAAATTTAAAACTTGCTCTGTGAAAGATGCTGTTAAGATAATAAAAAGATAAGCCATAGACATGGAGAAAATATTTGTTAAACACATATGTGATAAAGGACTCATATCCAGAATAAATAAAGAACTCTTAAAACTCAACAGTATGAAAACAAACATCTCAATTAAATAATGGGCAAAAGGATCAGGATAAAGACTTCATCAAAGTAGGTATAGATAACAGATACCATAGGAAAAAATACATCATTTGTCACTAGGGAAGTGCAAATTAAAACCATAGTAAGATACTACTTGTACATATTTATTAGAATGGATAAAATAAAAAAATTGAAATGCCAAATGTCCTTGAGGATGTGGAGTGTGGAGCTACAGGAACTCTCATTCATTGCTGGTAGGAATGCAACATGGTGCAATCACTTTTGAAGACAGTTTGGTAATTTCTTATAAAGTTAAAAATAGACAGTATATAATCCATCAGTCACACTCTTAGGTGTTTGCCCAAGTAAATTGAAAACTTAGGCTCACACCAAAATCTCTACACAAATTTTTATAGCAGTTTTATTCATAATATTCCAGAATGGGAAGCAACCAAGATGTCCTTCAGTAGGTGCATGAATAAACAAACTGTGTTTCATCTATACAGTGGAATACTCATCAGCTGTAAAAAGGAATGAACTATTGATTCACATAACAACATTGATGAATTTTCAATGCATTTTGCTAAGTAAAAGAAGCCAGACCCCTAAGACTACATATTATGTGATTCCGTATCTTTGCTTTTGGAAAAAGCAAAACTGTAGGTACAGAAAACAGATCAGTTGTTGTCAGGGTTAGGGGAAGTATAAGTAGTTGACTACAATGATGATACATAGGGGAATATTTACGGTGATAGAATGGTTCTGTATGGTCCTTGGGTGGTGAACCTATGACTCAGTATGTTTTTCAAGACCCATAGAACTCTACATCACAAAAACTTAAGTTTCATTTATACAAATTAAAAAAAAATATCAACCATTATGTTGTGGGAGACCCAGATTAGTATGCAGATTATCACAAATAAATCTAACTGTTGTTATTGTTAGGTGCAGTCGAGTTGATTCCTACTCATAGTGATCCTATGTACAACGAAATGAAATACTGCCCGGTCCTGTGCCATTCTTACAGTCGTTGCTGTGTTTGAGCGCATTGTTGTAGACACTGTGTCAGACCATCTTGTTGAGGTCTTCCTCTTTTTTGCTGACCTTCTACCTTACCAAGCATGATGTCTTTCTCCAGGGAGAGGCCTCTCCTGATAACGTGTCCAAAGTACATGAGACGTAGTCTTGCCTTCTTTGCTTCCAAGGAGCACTCTGGCTGTACTTCTTGCAAGGCAGATTTGTTCGTTCTTCTGGCAGTCCATGGTATATTCAATATTCTTCACCACCACCATAATTCAAAGGCATCAATTCTTCTTCGGTCTTTCTTATTCATAGTCCAGCTTTTGCATGTATATGAGGTGATTGAAAATACGGCTTGGGTCAGGCTCACTTTAGTCCTCAAAGTGACATCTTTGCTTTTCAATACTTGAAAGAGATCTTCTTCAGCAGATTTGCTCAATGTCGTTTGATTTCTTGACTGCAGCTTTCACAGATGATTGTGGATCAAAGTTAAATGAAATCCTTGACAAATTCAATATTTTCTCCATTTATCATGATATTGCTTATTGGTCCAGTTGTGAGGATTTTCATTTTCTTTATGTTGAGGTGTAATCCATACTGAAGGCTGTAGTCTTTGATCTTCCATCAGTAAGTGCTTCAAGTCCTCTTCACTTTCAGCAAGCAAGGTTGTGTCATCTGCATATTACAGGTTGTCAGTGAACCTTCCACCAATTCTGATGCCGCATTCTTCTTTATATAGTCCTGCTTCTCGGGTTATTTGCTCAGCGTAAAGATTGAATAAGTATGGTGAAAGGATACGTCCCTGACGCACACTTTTCACCACACAGTATCCCCTTGTTCTGTTTGAACAACTGCCTCTTGTTCTATGTGCAGGTTCCTCATGAGCACAATTAAGTGTTCTGGAATTCCCATTCTTCACAGTGTTATCCATAATGTGTTATGATCTACACGGTCAGATGCCTTTGCATAGCCAGTGAGACACAGGTAAACCCCTTTCTGGTATTCTCTGCTTTCAGACAAGATCCGTCTGATGTCAGCAATGATATCCCTCATTCCATGTCCTCTTCTGAATCCGGCTTGAATTTTTTCCAGTTCTCTGTTGATGTACTGCTGCAACCATTTTTGAGTGATCTTCAGCAAAATTTTACTTGTGTGTGACATTAATTTCTTCATTCTGTTGGATCACCTTTCTTTGGAATGGGCAGAAATGTGTATCTGTTCCAGTTGGTTGGCCAGATAACTGTCTCCCAAATTTCTTGGCATAGACAGGTGAGTACCTCCAGCGCTGCATCCGTTTGTTGAAATATCTCACTTGGTATTCTGTCAATTCCTGGAGCCTTGTTTTCACCAATGCCTTCAGCGCACCTTGGACTTCTCTTTCAATACCATTGGTTCTTAATCATATGCTACCTCCTGAAATGGTTGAATGTTGACCAGTTCTTTTTGGTACAGTGACTCTGTGTATTCCTTCCATCTTCTTTTGATGCCGCCTGTGTTGTTCAATATTTTCCCTATAGAATCTTTCAAAATTGCAACTTGATCCTTGAATTTTTTTCTTCAGTTCTTTCAGCTTGAGAAATGCCAAGCTTGTTCTTCCGTTTTGGTTTTCTAACTCCATGTCTTTGCACATGTCATTATAATACTTTACTTTGTGTCCTCGAGCCACCCTTTGAATTCTTCTGTTCAGCTGTTTTACTTCATCATTTCTTACTTTTGCTTTAGCTACTCTACATTCAAGAGCAAGTTTCAGCGTCTCTCCTATCATCCGTTTTGGTCCTTTCTTTCTTTCCTGTCTTTTAATGACCTTTTGCTTTCTTCATGTATGATGTCCTTGATGTCATCCCACAACTCGTCTGGCCTTTGGTTAGTAGTGTTCAATGTGTCAAATCTATTCTTGAGAGAGGGTCTCCAAATTTAGGTGGGATATACTCAAGGTTGTATTTTGGTTCTCGTGGACTTGTTCTAATTTTCTTCAACTTCAACTTGCGTATGAGCAATTGATGGTCTGTTCCATCGTCGGCCCCTGGCCTTGTTCTGACTGATGATACTGAGCTTCTCCATTGTCTCTTCCACAGATGTAGTTGATTTGATTCCTGTGTTTTCCATCTGGTGAGGTCCATGTGTATTGTCACCGTTTATGTTGTTGAAAAAAGGTATTTGCTATGAAGAAGTACTGGTCTCACAAAATTCTTTTATGCCATCTCGGGCTTTGTTTCTATCACCAGGGACATATCTTCCAGCTACAGATCCTTCTTTGTTTCCAATTTTTGCATTTCAATCACCAGTAATTATCACTGCATCTTGATTGCATGTTTGATGAATTTCAGACTACAGAAGTTGGTAAAAATCTTCAATTTCCTCATCTTTCGCATTAGTGGTTGGTGCATAAATTTAAATAATAGTCATATTAACTGGTCTTCCTTCTGTGCATATGGATATTATCCTATCACTGATAGCCTTGTACTTCACGATAATTCTTGAAATGTTCTTTTGACAATGAACACTACGCCATTCCTCTTTAATTTGTCATTCCT